GTCTTGCATCTGACAAATTCTACCTGGTTTCTGGTGGCTGGAAAGATTGAGTGAGTTGAGAGGTATGGCAAAATGAGTCTTTTCAAAGGGAAGGCAGAACTATTAAGAAATGAAACATATAGGTGGTCCTCACTTCATGAGTATGATCGGGAAGAAGGGCACTGCACTGATCATGTGGCAAGCGGATACAAGGTGCAGTTACACTGTGCAGGTGCTTAGTAGCATAATGCAGCCCAGCTCTTTTGTCAGTGAAGTTTGTTTCCTTCATGGTGCCTTCTCTGTCCACTATTCAGTATTTTACCAGCCGCCTGGGGGAATCCCAGAACATATCCTCTGTCGACCGTGTTGCTAATATGAATGTGACAGGGACAGCGGAAGATTCTCGCACGTACTTGCAGTCCACGTTCAACAGTGTGATGACGCTCTGTGCCATGTTGCCTCTACTCGTCTTCTCCTGCCTCAACTCCTTCATCCATCAGAGGTGAGATTTCCGCAGCTTCCTCAAAAATGAGTCACACACTTCCTGTCTCTTTCCTGCTTTGTCCCTACTCCCCTTTCTAACCCAGCCGTTGTCTTTGGGGATGCAGGATCCAGGCCAAGCCTAACCTCCTCAGGCTGACTCAGTCCTAAGCTAAGCCCACAGTGTTTCTTTGGCTTCTTTACATTTAGCAAGTTGTGGGTGCACGGTTATCTAAACATATAAATAAACATTATTATTATTTGGAATTAGCATTGTCAGTTTAACATCTCTTTGTTCCCAGAGATGTCAGTAATTACTTCAGTTATTACCTAAAGGAGAACTGAAGCTGACATCGCTTGTCAAGGCAGGTTCATTCATGTCTGAACCAGAAGTCAAACTCATTTCTTTTAGGTCCAAAGCACGTATTTTCTCCATTGGTTTTCATATAGTGGATGGTGCTTATATATGTAACTAGAAGCCACGGAACCTTGTTAGCGGAAGCATTCATTTCAAGAGGACTGAACAGTTTTAATTACATCCAACAATACGATGAAAGATACTCTGAGGTCTTTGGAGGGCAAAGAGGGATAAAAAGGTGGTAGATTGGTAGTCCCGTCACATGGAATGTCCTCTGAATATCCTAGTTGGGTTTTTAGGTTTCTACAGTGAGTTTTCCTCTTTGTTTCTGTCCCTTTCCACATTAGGATCCCGCAGCAAGTACGGATCCTATGCAGCTTGGTTGCCATCTGCTTTGTCTTCATGGTAACAGCTATCCTGGTAAAGGTCTCTATGGAGCCATTGCCTTTCTTCACCATCACCATGATCAAGATAGTCTTCATCAATTGTAAGTAGAGTCCCGTATTTATTTATTTACTTAATTACAGGATTTATGGCTCAATCAAAGTCACCAGGTTGGCTAATAACAAAAAATGGAGCAGTGTAAAAACACATCATATGAACACCTCTGTTGTTGTGCCTCTGGCATGATTGAGACCATTGGTCACATTTTGTTATTTTGTGAGCAACAGTCTTCATTGTGAGAATTTTGGATTTCCCCCACTTGGAGCAAGTACCAAGTTACCACTGAATCTCAAGTACTTTCCTTTTTGTTGGCTGACGTTAGTCCTGCAGTTACACAATCCGTGGCCAGATTCTTGTCTACTACAATATCTTTGAGGAACTCTCCTGCTGTTTTAATGTGAGAATCTCATGATTTTACTAGTGACATCATTTTCTTTTATTAATCATTCTGTAATTGTTATTGATCTTTGAACTGTGATTTTATTGTATGGCTCAAGACCTTCAGTCAAAGGAGCTTATCTCTCCTTATATATAATTGAGTTTTGGTCCTACAACGTTCGATGCACGGCAACAGTGTTTGGCCGCATGAACTGCCACTCACAGACGGGTCCCTGGCCACTAGCTGACTTGCCTTGTTGCGTGGGCTCACTCCTGCCCACAGAGCCCGTGGCAAGCCTTTCACCCTCAGTGTGCAGGGAGCCGCCAGACAGGATGGGCACTCCGGCGGCTGGACACTGAGCCCACCCCATTGCGACTGCAGGTAGCCACCCGCCCTGCGACTGGACCCGCCCGGCCACGGAGCCAGTGGCGGACTGTTCTCTCGACCCCGGGGTCTGCAGACGGGGGGGAGAAAGCAGGGAAAATGGCCTCTCTCTGCTCTGAGGTGACGGACGCCCCAGACAGTTCAGCGGGAACGTCGGCCTGAGGCTGGACCTGCCGCCGCGGTCATCATGGCCCACCAAGGCCTGAGGCACGTTGGCAGTCAGCCTGCAAGCGGGCGGGGACTGGTGCGCCGCTGGGGTGAGGGGCCGTGAAGGCACCCCAGAGGCTGCCAGATGCAGCGGCGCCCTGGAGTCTGGGGAGAGGAGAAAAAGCAGGGGGGAAGGCACTCACTTTCCTCCGATGCGGCAGACACCACGGCCCCTTCATTGCCCACGGGGTTGTCGCCCAAAGCCTGGCCCTGCCACTGCCGCCACGGGCCACCGAGGCCTGAGCCGCATCAGAGGCCAGCCTGTGAGCGGACAGGGCCTGCTGCACCACCAGGGCAAAGAGGAGCCAGAACGGAGCCTGCCGGATACAGCAGGGCACCAGGGTCAGTGGGGAGGCGGGGGGGGGGAGCGCCACACTTTGCGACAACATGACGGGCGCCTCACCCCCTTCACAGGTTGCTGCATCTTCAGGCCGCCCCCGGTCCTGCTGTCACCGCCGCACCCGCTGTGGCCCACGGCCAGCTTCTGTGCGGACGGCGGCAGCCGTGTCCTTGCCCCACCGAGCCGTCGAGGCGGCCCAGTGCCCGTCGGCCGTAGCCAGCCAAGAAACCACTCGCCACACACCAACCCCAGGGGCAGGGAAAGGTTGGTACGTACGGGGGTGGGCGGGTTCTAACGCCCATTGTCTTGAGCCTACAACAAGCTTCCCTCCTAGTTATTAATAAAGGAAAGGAAAAACACATCACAACACAAGTTAAAACCAAAACTAAAGTACATATATATAATAACACAGAAACATCAAATAAAGCACGAGGCAGGATGAAAGGATCATTGAGGGAATGCCAGACAAAACTGGGGGGGGGGGAGGCTTCACCTGCTAGCAGAAGACAGTGTTAGAACATGGCTTTGGGATGGGTGAAAGGAATTATAATGACAGTTTACAGTGGTGTCTCACATAAAGTCTTCCCCTTCTGAGACACTAGTCTTTAGCACCAGCTCAAGAAGGTGAGTACTGAGTACACTATTGCCATACCCCATACTAAATTTGGGGGGAATGGAGATGTCAGAATTCACAGTTGCTCCTCTCCTAACAGGAGGTGTGGCAGGGTCTAGGACACAAATGGAGACAAAAAGAGAAAAGCTTAACCCCCGTATCTCCAGCTTTCGCTGGCCAGAAGGAAGCATAGGAGTGTGCAGAAGCATTGACTCTGCGGTGCGTGAACTGTGATGATACACTGCACAGGCAGGCAGTCACCCGAATATTACCCTCAGAGTGTTCATATGTCTGCCTTTTCTCTTGACAGCTTTTGGTGCCATTCTTCAGGGAAGCCTCTTTGGATTGGCAGGGCTCCTGCCTGCTAGTTATACAACACCTATTATGAGCGGCCAGGGCCTTGCAGGGACATTTGCAGCTTTGGCCATGATCTGTGCTATCGCCAGTGAGTAATCCTCTTTTACCATGTGGTAATTGCAGTGCAGCTGCCCACCACACTTCAGGGTTCTTAGAAGCACAGTTCCCTTGGAGGTATGGGTGGCTGCCTGCGTTCCATTCTAAATTAAGTGTGGCGAGAAGCTTACACCATGACTACTTCTCTCCATATCTCTTCCAGGTGGCTCTGAAATATCAGATTGTGCCTTTGGTTATTTCATCACAGCCTGTGTAGTGATCCTGTTTGCCATCGGTTCCTATATGGTGCTGCCTCGTCTGGTAAGGATTGTGTTTTCTCTTGATGGGCAAGTGGGGCTCTCCTGGTGGGTACCCATTTCCGGGGCAGGGCAGCCTCTCCTGAGTGATTTTCCCATCCTCAGCCCAGTCTACCCAGAAGGATTTCATCCCCCCCCCCCAGTCCATGTTAATATGAGTTGCATGCCCTGACTCTCTACAGGACTTCTTCCGTTACTACTCCATGAAAGACAAGACAGAGTACCAGACCCATGAGAACCATTCTGAGCTGGACACCAAGGTTGATCTGATCAGGAAAGGTAAATGCCAGAGTGGAAGAGAATTTAGGAGGGAGGTACGCATGTGTAGCTAATTCGATGCAGGTGGGTGACCCCAGCAGGGCGTACCATCAGTCAAAAAACATACTTCAGAATGCATATGAAATGGGCTGTTCTTCTCAATCTAAAGTGCTGTTGTTTTACACAGTTTCCTTTCCTTACAGGTGAGCCCAATGGTATAGATCCAAGGAACCCTACAAACGGGGATTCCCATGTCCCAAACCACAAGTCCTCAGTCTTCAGCATCTTCAGAAAGGTACTTGAGATGCAGATGTGACTTTAGAATGGACTTTTCCATACCCTTGTGTTTTCCTAAATAGGGATGTCTGAGCTTGCCTTGGCTTTATTTGCCCTTGTTATGTATACTTGTCCCATCCCGAGACATGTGGATGTGAGGGCTAGGAAATTATACCCCACTTCGACACTGCTGTTGTGCAACGCCAGGTCCATACATAATAAGACTTCCACACTGCAAGACCATATCGCAGTGCAAGAAGTGGACCTGGCATGCATGACCAGGACCTGGATGAGGGAAGGTGGAACAGTCACCTTACAAGAGCTGTCCCCTCTAGGTCCTTCATCAGTCTCGAACAGTGGGGCGGGGGTGGGTGGGTGGCGGAGATACTCATCCAAGAGAGTTTTTCCTTCAGGGCATTCCCCCTCCCAAAGATCACCAGCACTGATTGTGTAGGCCTGGCTTGATACCCTGAGGTGAGTCTGGCTGTCTTCCTGGTGTACCGTCCACCTGGCGCACCTGCGGACAGCCTCCCGAGCCTGCTGGAGGTGGCAGCCAGCTGGGCCCTGGAGTTCCCAAGGCTTGTTATCCTTGGGGACTTCAATGTCCGTGCTGATGTCACCTCCACATAGCAGACTGCAGCTCTAGTGTCATCCATGGCAGCACTGTGGCTCACCCAGATAGTAATCAGGGCCCACGCATCAGGGGTTGATACGGATCCGATGGCCAAGATGTTGGTGCCATGGTCAGATCATTGTACCCTGAAGGTCCGGCTGGGTGTCTCTACCCCCTCATGCAGGTGGGAAGCAGATTTATGCTCGCCCGTGGAGACTAATGGATCCAATTGGATCCAAGAACGCTCTGTGGGAACTGATGCCCTCCAGCTATTCCTTAGATGAGCTGATAGAGGACTGGAACTCCCGTCTCTCTGAAGCCATTGATGAAATCACCCAACATCCTCTCCATCCCCACCAGAAAACATCCCCCTGGTACACTATGGAACTTAGGGGGCTGAAGGAGGCGGTGGTTGTTCCGCTCTTAAAAAGACCAAATTTGGATCGTATGGATCTGACCAATTACTGCCCAGTCTTGAATCTTTCATTTCTGGGCAAAGTAATTGAGAGAGTGATGGCAGAACAGCTCCAGAAATTCCTGGATGGCACATGGGTGTTGGATCCATTTCAGTCCGGCTTCTGCCCCAGCAACAGGACAAGAACAGCGCTGGTCACCCTCATGGACAATTGCCGCAGGCAACTGGATCAAGGTGGGTCGGCGCTGCTGATTTTATTCGACCTTACAGCAGCATTCAACACAGTCGATTACAACCAATTGACTCACCACCTCGCCGATACCAGAACCTGTGGGGTAGCCTTGCAGTGGCTTACCTCCTTTCTCCACGGAGGGTGGCACTGGGAGGGGCAGTGTCTCCAAGGAGCACTTCTCTCCCCGATGTTATTTAACATCTACATGCATCCACCCCCCATGCGCCCTCTAAGCTGTGGAGTCCTGTGAGCAAAAATTCTACTTTGTGAGCTACTGGCATTAAAGTTGTGAGCGAGTGATTTGGCTACTGCATAAATGAGTTTGCTCTGGAGCCCTCCTTCCTGAGCTGAGACAAAATGTGTGAGTCAGAGGCTAAAAAACCATGAGCTAGCTCACACTAACTCAGCTTAGAGGGAACACTGGCAACCCCCCCCCCCTCACCTAGCTAGCGCAGAGTTTCGGGTTGGGGTGTCATCAATATGCTGGTGACACCCAGCTATTTTGGTTGATGGGCGGCCAGCCAGATGCTGTTCCTGGGAATTTAGCCAAGGGTTTGGAGGCCGTGGTTGGGTGGTTAAAGCAGTCAGTTGAAACTGAATCCAGGTAAGACGGAGGTTCTGTGGCGGGGAGGGGGGAGCCTCGGTTCGGCTGCCAACTCCCAACTCTTGACGGTGTGCGCCTGTCACCAGCACTGGCCGTCAAGAGGCTGGCTGTGACTCTGGACGACTCCTTGTCTATGGAAGCCCAGGTTGTGAAGGTTGTCAAGCTGCCGTCTTTCCAACTGTGCCAGGTTAGGTAGCTGGTTCCCTACCTGTCTCGCTCCGATCTAGCCATGGTAATCCATGCAATGGTCACCTCCAGGATAGACTACTGCAATTCGCTCTACAAGGGCCTACCTTGCGCCTGACCCGGAAGCTCCAGCTGATCCAGAATGCCCTCGGAAGAGCGTTACTCTCAGGGAATAAGAACCTTCTGGTGGTCCCCGGGCTGAGAGAGATCCAGCTGTCAGCCCTGGCCCCCCCACCTGGTAGAACTCTGCTGGAGAACATCCGTGCCTGCAGGAATTATTACCTTTCCGCAGGGCATGCAAGGCAGAGATGTTCTGCCAGGCACTTGGTTGAGGACAGCGATGGGACAGTATGAAATCTGGCACGCTCATACCACCTCCACCCTTCTGTAACCCCTCCCCCCAGGAGGCTGATGGAAGCTGAATTTTTTTTTCTTCAACCATCTTGGAATGTGTATTGTTTTATTCGTTGATATGTTTTAGGTATTTTAAGGTTGGTTTAAAATTAACTATTATATTTGTTTCTGTGGCAAGCTGCCCTGAGCTGTGCTTGCAGGGAAGGGAGGCCTAAAAAATTCAGAATAATAATGATGATGATAATGATGATGATAATAATAGTGTCCTCTTCCTCCTCAGATCTGGATCATGGCTCTGTGTGTGTGCTTAGTCTTTACCATCACTATTGGAGTCTTCCCAGCTGTCACTGCTGACGTTAAGACAAGCATTGCTGGGAACACAACCTGGGGTAAGTAAAATCACGTTTGTAAATAGCTAGGGTTAAGACTAATGACGCTTTAACCATGTAAGAGGTGGGCAGGTAGCATGTTTTTTTAGAAAAAAATTACACTCTTCTATTGGGAAATTCAGAACAGTTTACATGGTGGTCCCCAGGCAGTGTCCCATCAGCTAACAGACTTAGTTGACATCTGTTTGGCTTGAACACAATAATATTTATGTATTTATTTTAATATATATATATATATATCCTGCCTTACCTCCTTAGATTCAAGGTGGCTGACAAAGTAACAGCAAGTTGCAAAAGTATAAACACAATACAGCAGCCCAGCAGCAAGATAAACACAATACAGAAGATAAAAGCCACAGGATTAAATGACACAGCCAGACCTACCAAAACCATTTACTTTCTACCCCATGTCCCCTGAAATACAACCATCTTATATACCATCCAGAATGCAGAAAATGAAAGTGTCCCCCACACTCACTCTGGTAACGACACCATGTGCCTTTGACTATTGTATGAACTCTCTTAAGCTGTGGGTAGGAATTTAACCACAAAGGGATGTGCAAGAGCAGGAGAGACGAGGATGTGGGGGGGAATGGACAGGTGTAGTCTGGGGCGTGAAGAGACTGGGAAGGAAGGATGGTCTGTGAAAAGGAAGAGTTGTTAATTCTGGGTCTTTGACAGTGATGATTAGGATGGAAATAGGAGTTTGAAGGCCCAATAGAGTCCTCCCATGTGGGACATTGGGCCATATGTCATTTGGACAAAACACGCTTCTCTGGCTCCTTCAGTCCATTCCCACCTACGCCGTATAGACACCCTGCGATCTTCTGCAGCAGACCTTCCATGTATGTCCTTATAGGTGAGGAAGGAAATCAGAAGGAACTATTGTAATCAGTGTGCGTTATCTGGAAGATTGGCAGTGGGAAGTGGCCAGAGTGGAATCAGAGGACCCAGGAAAGGGTGCAAAGAAGAATTTGGAGGCTGGCACAGGACTGAGGGGAGAATTTATGAGGGTATGGGATCAACCTTTGCTGAAGACAGACTTTTGCAAGGAGAACTCATTGAAAGGGGAGAATTAAGGAATGTCTTAGACCATTCAGTCCTGCATACAAGATGCTTTTTGTATTCCTGTATCTGCCATCATGTTAGTGTTCTCCCCCACCACACACACACACACACACAAATTTTGTTACTTGCATGTCTTTAAAAGAATCAGGTTTGACTTCCGGTATGGCGCGATGAGCGGACGCGTTTCGGAACGCTCCGAAGCGTCCGCTCCCACTCAGCTTTTTTTTGCTGACTCCCGGATTACGGGGGGCAACACCCAACCTCCCAGGGGAGGTGGGGTGGCAGGGGGCTTGATGTGAGCACTCATGCATATGGCAAACGCATGAGTGTTATCGTATGTGCCCTGAAGCAGGAGCGGAGAAGGGAAGCAGGCATGGTCGCCATGTTCTGCACCAGTCGCAGCCAGCCGTTGTTTTTAATTAAATGGATATACAAGCAGTAACAAATGCAAACAGAGTGAGTACGACTGCGGTTACAAGCTATATAAACCCCAGCGTAATTGCCCAGAATATAGAAGAGAAGTGGCCGGGGAAAGTAAAACGGGCTGAATATTGGACTGGAATTTTTCTTGTTTTGCTGGGGGAAAATAATTTTGCTGGCAAGGACTTACATGTTTCTGGCAGAAATGCTAAACTTTTGCTCTAAACTGATTCTTTGAGAGGAAATAAACGAAAAGAAGCTACGTAGCTGAGTAAAATGGCGTCTGCAGAGAATAATGAGGGGGTGGAGACGGATGAGGAGGTAGAAGACGGAGAACGTATGATGGAGCTGTTTCGGAAAACACTGGAGGAAAAGATAAGTGAAGGAATACAGGAAGGGATACGTAGAGGGACAGAACAAGCGTGGGACAACATATTTGGAAAGCTACAGAACGTATTGTTGGATAAAGAAAACCGAGAGGAATCGGAATGGGATGGACAGAACGTGGGAAAAGAACAGGAGATGCATCAGGAAAGGAAGGTGTCCGAGACCGCATCTCCACGGATGGCAAAGGCACAAAATAACTGTAAACAAAGCACTAGCCATAAGGACTTATTGTATTATTTAAAGAAAAAGAGGACAAAGAAAGGGGAAAAAAGAAGCAAAAAGGACAAAAGAAGGGGAAAAGAGGGAGGTGAGACAAGTTTCAACAACCTCCACAAAATTGTGAAAATAACATGGTTGAAAAAGAGAGGGGAGAGTATAAAAAAAGAATAATGTACGTACAAACAAGAGAGACATTTGGAAATGATCGCTAAAAAGAAGAGACTATTAATTTCAAGGAAAAAAATTAAGTTATATGAATTATTGTTTTTCTGGTTTTTTTAATGGGAGTTGTTGCATGTCAAAGTAAATGATTTATGGAGTTATGTGATTAAAGGATGAAATGTTTTTGTAGGTGTTTGTTCAAAGGGAAAAGCGGGGTTATAACTACCTGTTTGAAAAGAAATACCCAAACGAAGTAATTATAGGGTTGTTTTTTCTCCTTGGATATATTAGGAGGAATTTATTATTTTGCTTTGTGTATATAAATATATAGGACTGTTCTTATGTGTTCTGGGACAATAGTTTGTTTATTTGGATAAGAAGAGCTTCAAAATGTGATCAACCAAGACTATGGTTGAAAAATAATAATGGAATATACTGTTAGGTGGAAAATAGTGTAAGGAGAAGTTAGTAGAGGCTAAAGTATGTAAATGGCTTTGGTAGAGGGTAAGAACATTAGTAGATAGAAAATAGGGATACATTGAAGTGGTTAGTAAGCATAGGCTTATAGTGCTTGTTAAACAAAATGTTTATACCAGATAAAGTTAAAGCAGAAAGCTTGAGGATGTATTGATGTTAAAGCAATAATGTTAAAGATTAAGCTAAATGGTAAGGGAAGTAAAGATCAATCTTGACAATTATAACCTCTAAGTTAGATGGAATAGGAAGCAGAAGCATTTGGCAGCAACGTGTTGATTCAATAGAATATTATCCTGGAGCAAAGGGCAAAAGGTATATTGATGAAAATGTGAAACCTTGCCTAGTAAGGGAAAATATAACGGGTTTTTTGAACTATTGTTTAAAATGAAAATATGGTCAAGTTGAGATATATAGACTTGTTGAAAAGAAAATTCGATCTAAGCAAATTTTTAATTGTATATGTTACTGCATGGATTACGTAATGGTGGTGTTTAGGTGGTGGGTATTCATATGCTTAAAAAACCCAATAAATATCTCTCCTTATATATAATTGAGTAAGAACATTCTATATGAACATTCTAAATTTGGCCCCTTTAGTGTATGGACGCTTGAACTGTCAGTCAGAAGACGCTGGCTGGGTTGACTGGCTGCTTTGTGCAGTCCCGCCCAGCGTTTCAAGGTCTTTTGCATATGGAAGCTGATTGGACTTCACTGCATTCCACACCTCAAACTCACCCCCCTCCCCGCAAGGCAGTTGGAATGTCAGTTGCATATGGAACCTTCAAGGTCTTTTGCATATGGAAGCTGATTGGACTTCACTCCATTCCACACCTCATACTCCCCCCCCCGCAAGGCAGTTGGAATGTCTGGTGGTGTGTAGGTCCCAGGATCATGTTTTAAAAGCTGCCTGGGGGATTATGGACTATTCACACACTTTCAACCTTAACATACCTCATAGGGGGAGAGGAGAATGATGACAGCTGCTTTCCCTAGGCAGAGGCTGGGGGGGGGGGAAGTAAACTTGAAGACAGACAGGCAGATAAAGGTGAGGCTGATGGTTGCCTGGAAAGAATAGGGTTGCCAACTCCAGGTTGGAAAATTCCAGGATAGTTTAGGAATGAAGCATGCTGAGGGTGGGGTCTGAGGAGGAGGAGGAGGAAGAGGAAGAGGAGGACCTCAGACAGATACAATGCCATACTCCTCACCCTCCAAACAAGCTGTTGCCAGTCTCCAGGTGACAGCTGGAGAGCTCTTAAAGCTCTGGTGCTAATTCAAAGTGCTGCAATTTATCGACAGAGTAGTGTTTTGGCAAATCTTTAGGAATTGTTTGGTGCATTTACGATGAGGCACCCACCCAGAGCCTCTGGCATTTTCTCACTCTGCTGGCATCAAAACCAATTTAAGGCAAAATAAGAGGCTACTGAGAGGGGAGGAGATAAAGTTGCCAGCTTTAGGTATGGAAAATCCTGGAGATTTGAGGAGTGGAGGCCGGAGAGGGGGACATCAGACAGGTTACAGTGCCATAGACTCCACCCTCCAACCCAGCTATTTGCTCCTGGGGAACTATTGTTGCCAATCTTGGCCCAGCACCCATCAAACCATTCTCTTCAACCCCCTGCTGTGCAGCAGACTTTCCCCTAGGGTTGCCAATCTCCAGGTGGGACCTGGAGATCTCCCACTGCTACAATTGATCTCCAGATGACAGAGATCAGTTTCCCCTGGAGAAAATGGCTGCTTTGGAGGGTAGACCATATGACATTATATAGGGTTGCCAACTCCCGATGGGAAATTCCTGGAGATTTGAGGGATGGAGCCTGAAGAGGGTGAGGTTTGAGGAGGGGTGGGACCTCAGACAGGTACAATGCCATAGACTCCACCCTCCAAACCACTCAGTCCCTCATGGGGAACCATTGTTGCCAATCTCCAGGTGAGGGCTGGAGACCACTCAAAATTACAATTGCTCTGCAGAAGGGAGGGCGGAAGTCAGCTGAAGTCAAAGGGGCAGATAATGGTAGGTTGATGGTTAGCTGCGAAGGAGATGGGGTTGCCAACTCCAGGCTGGCAAATTCCTGGGGATTTGAGGGGTGGAGCCTGGAGAGGGTGGGGTTTGCGGAGGGGTGGGACATCAGACAGGTAGAATGCCATAGACTCCACCCTCCAAACCAGCCATTTCATCCTGGGTAACAATTGTTGCCAATTTCCAGGTGAGGGCTACAGATCACTCAAAATTACAACTGCTCTTCAGGGACCAGAGATCAGTTCCTCTGGAGAAAACAGTGGACTCTGTCATTATACCCTGCTGAGGTCACCACAGCAAAATGACACTGTTTGCCCAAAGCCAGAGCACTCCCCCAGAGCCTCTTTCTAGATCCCGTTGTATTTATTTCCACAATACTGCTAGTATTTATATATAAAAAAAGAATCAGGTTTTTTCCCCACAGGCTTGATAGGGTCCACGTGCTTCATTAATGACTGGGTACAATTATAGTCCCTACTCACAATATTTCAGTAGCCTAGCTCCTTTCAGGTTCATTGAATTACATGCTTGTGGAAGATGGGAAGGTATGGTTATAAGTGACTCACTGGAGGACAAAATTGTCAGCTTCATCCTAATAATTCTCCATGTTGATCCGCTGAATATACCAGTAGACAGAGATCCTGGCACTGATCACTCTTCTTCTCCATTCTCTTCTCAGATGGATATTTCACGCCAGTCTCTTGTTTCCTGGTGTTTAATGTCTTTGACTGGGCTGGTCGGAGCCTGACGGCTGTTTGCATGTGGGTGAGTGCAGGGCCATGAGGTGTTAACAATACTCAATCCACCCGAGTCTACTTTTACTAATATGCATTCAAGAAGTTAGCATCACGGCCCTGTTCTTTGTGCTGACAAATCACGGCAAGAGCTAGGGAAGGATGTGGAGAGAACCTGAGCTCAAGCTGTAGGCAGAAAATCAGAATCCCCCCAATCAGTGAAAAAGGAAGCCTGAACTGACAGGCTTGTGGGGACCATGATGACCTAAAGAGCAATAGAGAGAGCAGAGGCGGAGGAGGAGACTTGAAAATAGAAAGGAAAGGGAAAGGGTGGGGAACTTGATCGTTGAAGTTTACCAGAAACACAAGCGACAGTAGAGAGGTGAAATGCAGAAATTGCAAAAACACAAGGATGTTTCACTATTTTGCTTGGCCCAAGTAAGTGTGGGTTTGGGTGGAATTGGCTCCTTGTCCATGTTGTTCTGGTTAAATGTTCTGACGTCCCTGTATTTCTTCCCCTCATCTTGTGTGGCTTGGATGAAGATGCCTTACTAATTTAGTCTTCTTGTAACCAAGCCCACGCTCAGACTGACACGCAGCCAGCTGTCTGGGAAAGTACAAACACAGCTTAGTGACAGGGGCCGATCAATCGAGAAAGGATTCGGAACAAGCTCGATGACTAAGGGTACAAAGAGAGCTTGTGGATTCCAAGGGTACAGTTGGCTTCTTCAGCTCACTCACTATATCGAGGCCAAACTGCACAAGACGTCCACTCACTTTCCTCGCAGCCACACGGCAGCTGCATAGAATGTGTTTCAGCTCAGGAAAACAGCAGGGCGACCAGGAGACTCCCCCCCCCCCCTCATGGTCTTGAGCTAAATCAGGCCTTGCAGAGTTTTAAATTGACATTCCCCATGGTTGCCGTGTGGCTGTGAGGAAAGCCAGTTGGGTCTGGGAAGAGGCTGAGGGGCCAGGCATGGCTTCCCTCTGAGGCCTCCTGGCTCTGATCAGGACCAGGGCCTCATACTGTTGTACAGTGACCCGTTTATTCTAGATCCAGTGTTTTAAAAGTCTTGCGTCGTTTGTCTCCCAGTCCTGATCATTATACATGGCCATTTTGTTTACTGCCTTTCCTGCTGTTGCCTCCTTCAAATTATTAAAGCTGCTTTCTTGAATAAATGTGTCACTACACAACAATATGAGGCCCTATCATGATCGGAGCATACAGACCTCAGGAGGAAGCCATGCCTGGCTCGCCTTTTGCCTCTCCCTTTGTGCTAGGGCTAGCGATGTTTACTTGGCCCTTCTCACCAAGTCCCTGAGCCATATCCCAAGTGGAGAGACAAACTTGTAAGAAAATGTTTCGAGAACAACTTTGTGGAAAGTTTGACGCCACAGGCTCTGAGTGTTCACGTCTGTGTGGTTTGTGCCAGACTTCTTTCCCCTAGTAGGTCTATTTTCTTACTGCCTCCCTCACTTGGCAAAAAGAAGGCTGCTTTTGCTTGTAGCCGACCGTGTGGTTAAAACCAAGATGGGTGGGGGCATTATGAGTCTTGTTTCCCCCACTGACGGCATTGGTCGTGCTCCCACAACAGACCAAAGCTAGTTTGATAATCTAGGGACAGTTCAGTTTCCAGAATGTTTAATTCAGTTCTTGGTGATTTCATTACCCAGTCACAGTGGAAATTTTCCCAGTAAGGAATCTGATCTTTGTTTGGCCATGCCACACTGCCTTTTCAGGGGATTCTTTTCTCCATTGTGCAGAAGCTTGGAGATTCTCATGGTGTTATAAGAATGGCTTTACTAGATCAGACAGATATTGTAAACCATTATTGTATAGATTGAGGGGAAGGAAAGGCAATTGAGTCCAAGCCCTGATCCAGTTGGGTGCTGTAGATCAAGCTATATAATCCAGTAGACTGCACAAGTAAATTTGCTGCAATAAGGTACCACTAGTGAGCCTGCAGTAAGGTACCACTAGTGAGCCAGTGTGGTATAGTGGTTGGATCTCAGAAACCCAGGTGTGAATCCCCACCCTGCCATGGAAACTTGCTGGGTAATCTTGGGCCAGTCACACACTTTCAGCCAAACCTCACAGGGTTGCTGTGAGGATAAAATGGAGGAGAGGAGAACAATCTAAGGCAGTTTGGGTCCCAACTGCGGAGAAAAGTAGGTTTTAAATAAATAAATAAAACTAGGACCAGGTAACTCAAGCAAGTGAGCCAAGCCACATACTACAGGAGCAGGCAAAATAAACACATCCATACGCATCAAGATGACATCTCTGAAAAGAAGGAAAACGTGTGATTTCAGCTGATTATTGTACACAAGAAGGAAGTTAAATTTTTTTGAAGGATTATCCAACCTGTTTCAGTCAAGGGAGGGTATATATTATGTAACTGATACAAACTTCATGTTTATGTTTTGGGTTCTCCAGTTAAAGAATCTTAGTCTGGGAAATAACTGAATTTAAACAGGATAAACTGTTGCCAGCCAAGACTGGAGATTTTTATCTATTTTTTTTTCCTGCTGCTGATGCCTTTCAGCAATTGAAGTGCACGTAGGTGGAGTAAAGAAATGACTACTAAGTCCAGTGGAGGTTAGTGTAAGTGTGGTAAGCTGTTAAAAGTTTTGCCAGGTCCTCTTGCCGTAGCCAAGGGCAGGGCTTAATGTTCCACAGTCTGTCATGTTCACATGGGTGGCTTTTCCAGCCATTTGGAATGTTGTTTTCTACTGTTGCCTTTTCCTCTTGAAACATGCCAGCAACCCAATTAACCCAAGTCAAGTGGGAACAACTGCTCTTCTGGCCATTCGCCTTGCTTTGACAAGGGCGAATGAAAGCTATCTGTGATGGTTCTTCCTCCTGCCTTGATAGGAAGAAGAGTCTCGAGGTTCAGAGAAGAGGTGAACTTTTACCTTACTTTCAGAATACCCTCTATGACCCCCATAGAGAAGCCAGGATCTGTTCATCCCTGCCGCTCCTCAGTGATGTGTCATTAGAACCAGATATTGAACCACAGCAGCAAATTAATAAATGAGGCAATATGTGTATAATGGGAAGATCCTGTTTGAACAATTCATTGCCTTCACTCAGGTGAACGGATTGTAAGCTCCTGGGGGCAGGGACCTGAGTTGTTTTACATTGCTCTGTGACACTACACATATACAATGGTGCTAGAATGAATGCCCTTCCACATATCTTTTGTAGGAAGACATTTAGAGAGCCAATATGAAACTCTGGGTCACTGTCCAACCAGGTCTGCGTGGAGCATCCACATAATCAGGGGTCATTTCGTAGAAAAAAAGCTAGGGAACTCATTAGCATAACTCATTAGCATATGCCACACCCCTGACATCACTGGACGTGTGTCATAAGGCCACACACCCCACCCCCAACGGTCCCGGCCGCCGCCGGCCTTGCAGCTCCACTGCCGAGCCCCATGAGGGGCCCGGCAGTGGACCTGCAAGGCCGGCGGGAGTGCAAGGAAGCCCCGCGAAGGCCCTCCCTGGCCCCAGGCAGGCAGGGGTGGGGAGAGGCAGGGAGGAAGCAACTGCGTTCCCCCGCATTCCCCCCCCGAAATGATCTCTGCACATAATACTTTATATTATGGTGTAGCTGGGGGGTGTCTATATCACTGTGCTATTGTTTGAAGCCTGTTGCCACTCCGAAGGTGTCTAAACTGGGCCTTGGATATCTTGCTCTGTTTTTTAGGCTGACTTTTATTATTGTTGGGATTTAAATGTTTTTACATAAACCTTTTCCTAAACCCAAACCAGACCTGCCCAATTTGTGACCCACTGAACTGTACTCAACCCACTGGGAGCTGAACAAACTGCCAGCCTGGAACTGCCAAAGTTCCCTGCTCATTTTGTTCAAAACTCCACCTCTGGGGAGTCCCGTTTGTTTCCTTAGCTCTTTCCCAAAATTCATTGAAATTCCCCCCAAATTAAGCTGACCCTTACAGCTGAGCAAAATTTACAACTCAGCAAGATTCTGCCTTGAAATCTCAATTTAGACAAAGACTTGCAAATTGAGAACCACCAGATGGAGATGAAATATAGTTGTCATAGAAGAGAAAGTTCAGTCATACTTCAGTCTGAGGAGAAATCCACCACGGGGTGAGAAGAGCCCCAGGCTGTATGTGCCAGGAAAGAAGAAATGGAAGAAAGCAACATGTGACATGCTTTGTGAGGTGCACAGTGGGATCGCTCCTCCCAACCTAACACTTAAGGAAGGGGCAACAACTTCCAGCTTGAAAAATACAAGTCTACTGTTTGAGCTGGAAGGCTAGCTTGACCCACTCCCACACCCTCAAGACAGGCACAGGAAAAAATAGCTAGTGAATGGGGAGATTCATCCAGGCACATGCTGTGTTAGCTGGTCACCTACTCATGTAGCAAGTACTAATTATAAAAGTGTGTAAAGAAAAAACAATTCTCTCTTCTCCGCCCTCTGCAGCCTGGAAAGGACAGCCTTCTGCTACCCTTGATGGTGATTTTCCGTGTGATCTTCATCCCCCTGTTCATGCTGTGTAATGTGCTGCCCCGCCGGAACCTGCCTGTCGTCTTTGCCCACGATGCTTGGTACATCATCTTCATGATCTTCTTCTCCATCTCCAATGGATACTTGGCCAGCCTCTGCATGTGCTTCGGGCCCAAGTGAGTATTCCCTGAGAGGGCAAGTTTGAGCAACAAAAGCGAGCTTGCTCCCCATTCAGCCTCTGCTTCTCCTGCACCATAAGCACTGGTAGGTCATTCATATGAAGAGTGGTGATTGTTAACAGTGCCGATTGTGTTGGTTGGCAAGCACTAGCTTCACTTGTCTCTTGCACTTTCCCTTTGGCCATCCATGGGCAAAAGGACTTCCCCACAGCTAGGGACTCCGTGTTCTCAACCTTGACAGCCACCAGAAAATCTTGGGCTCTGGCTCATCTTAATCCACGCTAGGTTATTTGTGTAAGCTAATTTGGGTACATCCCCAGGAGTTCCCCAAGATTTCTTCAGTATGTCTCTAAGCATGGTGACCACAAACTTTTCCTTACTCTTTGGTCCAAGTTTCATGTCACATCCTGAATTCCTGCCCTCTTCCTCAAACTGGAGGGACCTGGGAGCCTTGAATACAATGGAATACAATGGAGGAGGGAGAAGACAGCCAACTGTAGGCCGCGGGTCTTTCTGGAGAGTATAGCAGAGGAAGTTGCTCCCAGCATGGGAGACAGGAATTCTCCAAAGGGTCTGGATCTGTCAGGCTACCGTCATGCATACACTGCTGATATTGTGTGATGCGGCGTGGCCCTTGTCCTGGCACAAAGCAGTCTTTCTCTTCCTAAAAGGCCATGAATTCAGTGTTGGGCACTTAGCACAGAGGAGGAGGGCACTGTGCCATCAGAAATAGTTGCCCCTTCGGAAAGGACAGTGAGCTGCCTAGAATGAGAAGTACGGTTATCCTGAAACCAGGGAAACCAGGCTGAGAAATCCACTCCCACCCCGTTTTTGAAAGAAATTCTTTCAGAGTAAGCCTTCCTCAGGTTACAATAACCTCATGACCAAAGGGAGAAAATGCATCAGAACCTTTAAATTTGGCATAAAATGAATTACAGAAGACTAATATTTAATTCATTAGTATGAACATATAGGTATGCTTTTGTTTGCCTTTTGACATCAGCTGTTGCTGCTAGGTTGACCAGCCTCTTTCCTCTCTTTTCCCCCTACTAGGAAGGTGTTACCACATGAAGCAGAGACTGCTGGAGCCATCATGGCATTCTTCCTTTCACTAGGCCTGGCTTTGGGAGCTGTCTCCTCCTTCCTGTTCAGATATGTAATCTAGCAGGACGCCCAGAACATCTTCGGCAAGAGGGACAGAGGAGAAGTGCCCTGCTTTCCAAAGAACTCACTGCCTTAGCCGGTGTGTGTGTGTGTGTAGCACGTGACTTGGAGCCTGGCTCTTTCCTTTCCTTATTGCACCGATAACTCAGCTCCTCTTGTGTGTGATTTTTACCCTTGTCAGTAATGTTTGACCTCTACCAATCCAGCATTATACAACTTTGCTCTCTAGGGTGCATCAGAATGTTTCCATGTTTGTGCCTTGCTAAGGCCAAGATCATTCATTCTCTGTGCTTGAGCCAGTGGCTGCTTGCAGTTCTCTGTCCTTATGTTTTTTCCCCACATAGTTGTGCTTTCTCCTGCCAGACAGAAGGGACTTCTTCCCCCTGCACCAGTGGTGCCTCAGCCTTGCAGCTGGCTTCTGCTTACATGGAACCAGCCTGAGTACCCGAGATCCATCAGTATCTGCTTCCGGGGTCAGAAGGAAAGGTTTATCTGTACATTATTGCACAGCCAGTGGGCAGCTGTGAAACAGCCCAGAGCTCCATCAAGCTAGTGCCAGTGCCTCACACCTCAGGGACACAGCTGTCCTCCTGGGGAGCATTTCTGCCATATTCCAGCCACTCCTTCCCCAGTCTCCCCTAGCAGGGGTTGCAGTGAGCGCTTAAGAGACTGAGCAAGCCAGTGATGGCGAGTTTTGCTTTGGCAAATTAACTCTTTGCCTCACAGTTTCAGCCAGTTATCAGGCTTGAATTTACACTACAGTTACTTTGTAAATATATATATGTACAGCTGCTGTCGTGTATAGACTGCCAACACCCCTGACATTTAACCCTGCCACCCCACCCCCCCAGCTTTCATAAGATTCTCTACCCTGCTTTGTCAGTGGGTGGTAGCAGTAGAAGGGGGTCACGAGGGCCGTCCCTCAATATTAATCATGGAGTTCTAGAAAGGCTGAGCCCTTTACCCTGCCTCCACCACTAGTTCAAGGCTTGGGCTGAAGGGGCTGAAATGGATTTGTCTTATGGTTGCTCAAAGCAGTCAGTCAGTTTTTAGCTCATTGTATGTGTTCTTTGGATTGTAAACCTCAGGATTTCAGTTATTTTCTTTGAACTCTGATTTTTTTTAAAAAAAACAACACGCGATTTTTAAAAGTTAAAAAAACTTGTAGCCCTCCAAGGAGTGGAGGAGTGCCTATGTGTATTTTAAACCAGAAAGCAAATTAAATATAGGACTTTTTTTTTTCTAAGTGACATCTGAAGTCTTATCTCAAGAGATAGAAGAAAGTGTACTGGATAGCAAGAGTCACGGTTTAAAAGTATTTAGTGTTGTTCATTGTGAGGACCTGTTTCAGAAGCACGGATATGGCAAATGTGACATCTTGAATGGTAGCCAACACTTGAGCAAAGAGGGCCACACGACTATGAGAAGGTGGAATACATTAAAAGGTTGATGGTGTGGAAGTGCTGAAGAGAACCACAGTAGGTCTTCTGGGTAGCAAGAACATGGAACAAGAAGCACCAAGGCTGGAACTGAGCAGTCCGAGGTCAATATAGAACTCTCACCATTGTGTTTCCACCTCAGAGCAGGGGACGAGGGCTTTGCAGCAAATAACCAGCAGGTTGGAGGTGCTTGACCCTTCTCAATTGCTGTCCTCTGTTTTGCCAGCTTCAAATCCCTCCCCCCCCCCCGCGCCTGCCCTCCCTCATCTGGAACCTCACTTTGGGAAATTAGGGTGTGTGTAAAATAGCTTTGCAGATTTTAAAAATACCATTTCTGAAACCCACTTAACCAAAGGGTAAGTATGCCACGGAACCTGAGGCTTCCCTCAAAACCACTTTCAAAGAACTCCAGCCAGAATGGCTTTTAAAAGCAATGGTGGAGCTACAGTGCCATCTCTTGGCCACCTCTCTTCACTGCAACACCACACCAACCTATGCATACTACACATACACTTCATTGATATAACTGCACCTGTCTCCCTTAGGGGACCCAAAGCAGTATACTTTGTTTCTCCATTTTATCCTCACAACAATCCTATGAGGTAGGTTAGGCATCTTTAAGACATCAGAACCAGCATAGCAAATAAATCCACACAATTCTAGAGCAGGGCCAAGACATACTTCTGTTAATTGTAATTCCAACTTGCTAGTTATTTCTTTGAGCCAGTTTGGTGCAGTGGTTAAGACTGCAGATGCTAATCTGGGAGAACCAGGTTTGATTCCCCACTTCTCCACATGCAGCTGCTGGTGTGACCTTGGGTCAGTCACAAGTTCTTTCAGAGCTGTTCTCTCAAGGGCAGTTTCTGTCAGAGCTCTCAGCCCCACCCACCTCATAAGGTGCCTGGTGTGGGGAGGGGAAGGGAAAGGAGTTTGTAAGCTGCCCTGAGACTCCTTCAAGTAGTGAAGGGCGGAATAAATCCAATCTCCTCCTCTTCTTGAACTATTAAAAAAGTTATTGCTGTTTAAGGTATTTACAGTTGTGGAGACAGTGTGGGTTTCAAGTTACTGGACAGTGTGGCTCCCATTCCAGCAATGAATACTCCTAACATCACAACAAGCAGACAACACAGTATCCGTTGCTAGCATAGCTCAAAATTATTTTACCTGCTATGCCTTCCTTGCATCAGATGCTGACATGTGATCACAATGCTGGTCCTCTTTTCAAAACACACAAGCTAAGGAAATAAGCAGATTTTTAAAAATTTGTTTTGAGTTGGGATAATTTTCTTTAGCAATAAGAAATCCATCTGTAATTCTTACCTAAGTCCTGAGACTTTCCACCAGATTTATTAATAGACTAGCAGTAAAGCCCGTTGTGAAAGCAATACAACGGAATCTAGAAAGAGGCTCTGGGGCAGTGCTCTGACTTTGGGCAAACAGTGTCAATTTACTGTGGTGACCTCAGCAGGGTATAATGACAGAGTCCACTGTTTTCTCCGGAGGAATTGATCTCTGCTACCTGAAGAGCAGTTGTGATTGTGAGTGATCTGTAGCCCTCACCTGGAGATTGGCAGCAATTGTTACCCAGGACAAAGTGGCTGGTTTGGAGGGTGTAGTCTATGGCATTCTACCTGTCTGAGGTCCCACCCCTCTGCAAACCCCACCCTCTCCAGGCTCCACCCCTCAAATCCCCAGGAATTTGTCAGCATGTAGTTGGCAACCCCATCTCCTTCCCAGCTAGCCACCAACCTACCATTATCTGCCCCTTTGACTTCAGCTGACTTCTGCCCTCCCTTCTGCAGAGCAGTTGTAATACTGAGTGCTCTCCAGCCCTCACCTGGAGATTGGCAACAATGGTTCCCTATGTGGGACTGACTGGTTTGGAGGGTGGAGTCTATGGCAGTGTACCTGTCTGAGGTCCCACCCCTCCTCAAACCTCACCCTCTTCAGGCTCCATCCCTCAAATCTCCAGGAATTTCCCATCTGGAGTTGGCAACCCTATCAGGACTGGCCCCAATGTGTTTTCTCCCAAAGGCCAAAGTAGGTGACAGGACCAAGCTTAGTTGCCTACCAACAGGCACTGAGGGGAATGTAGGGTTGCCAGCTCTAAGGAGGGAAATACCTGGAGGTTTGGGGGGTGGATTCTGTAGAGGGCCGGGCGACGGAGGCATCGGCCTTCTGTCGCCCGCCTTGCCCCCCCAATCTCGGCCCGGGCACCCGCGGCTCCCACCAGCGGCCGCCCGACTCCAGACTCCCCCGCGGCCACTCCAGCCAGGCGACGGAGGCATCGGCCTTCCATCGCCTGCCTCGCCCCC